GCAGGTGTGAATAGTGTTGCCCAAAAGCATATTAAGGATGCAATGGAAGCACACAGTGAGAGAGCTGATCTGGTCTCCTTTACGTGTAGGCTTGGCCCTGCCTTCACTATCAGCCCTTGTCCAGCTGCTGACCCTTAGAATCTGACTCGCCAGTAAAGACCTAGGAAGTCCTGGGCATCCATGTAGACCAGACAGATACAGCCTTCCCCAGGCACCTACCATGTTAATGCACTATGTCTGCACTTTGATCAGTTCCATAGTCCTGCACTCTAGTTCTTTTGCCCTTTCAAAAGTTCTTAGTTCTTGCCAGATCCCTCCCCTACAAAACCAAGTCCTTTCTCTGATACCTTCAGTCACTGGTTGGGCTCTGCTGGGATTGGCCCACTCTCCATCCACCTGACTTTGATGCTAGCCTGTCACTGGAACTCCCACTGGCGTGTCCCACACTTTAGATTGAACCAGCCTGTCTAAACCAAACCCAAGCTGGGCCTGGACCACCAAGTTTCCAGAGCCCCCTCAGTTCACCCCGTCCTTACTCCTCTGGTTCCTGGGTTTCCCTCTCCTCTTTTATTTTGCTGTGACCCAGCAGCGAAGTTCTATGGCTGAGTCTGAGTGTGACACTCTGGGCTTGCTGACGAATGAATACCTATTGATTTGTTCTTTCTCCTTTGCACACATTGTTAAGTACTGAATAATTAGTCAACAAAAATGTCCTGAGAGCCCACCATGCACTATTCTGAGCGCTGAGGAAATGCCAGTGAACAAAACAAAGATCCCTGAATTTCCACACATGCCCATCCATTCTGTGCGTGCTCTCTGTGAGTGGAGAGCTTGAAAATCAGAGGGAGTCTGACATGAGATCAGTCAGGCCCTCTGCTCAATGTACAAGACACACTGTGCTTCCAAATCTCCAAATTTCTCAAGACCAAGTGGACCAGGTGATGCCTTATCTCCATGCCTCTCACTTCCACCACTGCAAATGAATCCAGCCAGGCACAGTGGCTCACATCTGTAATCCCAGCACTTTGGGAGGTTGAGGTGGGAGGACTGTTTGAGACCAACCTGTCTCTACAAACAAACAAAAAAAAAAGAGCTTGGTGTGGTGCTGCGTGTGGTGCTGCGTGCCTATGGTCCTAGTTACTCAAGAGGCTGAAGCTGGAGGATCACTTCAGGCTGGGAGGTCCAGGCTCCAGTGAGCTGTGATTGCACCACTGCACTTTAGCCTGGGTGACAGAGTGAGACCCTGTCTAAAAATAGGAAAGAAAAAAGAAAAGGAAATGAAATGAATCCCCATGTGGACTGTTTCCAAACCACTCCGCTGTAAACATGATGTCAGCTCACAAATTGCTGCACTAAGTTTATAAACTACAACTGATAAATAGGTTTCAGGCTTGTAAATCAAATAATTGCCCTTGGAGGCTTGCAGAATAGACAACACAAATTGCTCATTGCTGACACAAAGATTCTAAGCGAAGTTTTCTAATTTCAGAGACTTTAACCAGGCTATTAAGGGAACACAAATTTGACTTTCTCTCTAATTAAAGCCTATTATAATATAATAACATAGTTCACTGCTGGATAAATACTCCTTTATTTTTCATTCCAACAGTAACTAATTTGGTGATGCAGACACACACACGTTCTATATGGGGCTTATAACCCGAACATATGTGTAGCTGTCTTTGCAGTTTTTTAGCTGTTTTGTTCTATGTTTTGCCTCTCTTCTCAGTTTCAGACTTCACTTATTGACTATGATAATTACTGAGCAAACAAATATGACCTATTAAGGGCAATTACTATTAAGCAGAATTTTTAAATCATGCCCTAGGAGCGAACACTTTTCTTGAGACTTGAGACAAATGTTGTCCCACACGCTGGCTGAGTAGCAAAAAAGCCGAGGTTGGGATGATCTCCTGGGTACTGCCAGCAAGCACAGGAATGTGCCAGTGATGTCAGGCAGAGCAGGGCAGGCATCAGATAGGTGGAGTGGGGAACTGGCCATGTGGTGTGATGTGAGAGATTTCCAAAAAAGGTCCTGGACTGAGAAAGTCCTTCCTCTCTGCTACAGACAGGGGCTGTGATTGTTGGAATGAGTGTGAGGTAAGCCTCACCACTCCGACTTCTAGCCTGTGTCTGCCAACATCTCATTGAACAGGATGTGAATGTGGGAAGGAAGCCTCTGTCCTCAGGCTCCTGGCTCCTGGTGTGGAGCTAAGAGGTTTCATGGCTGTCCTGGTTCCCAGGCTGATGTCTTTGACCTCCACAGATGGAATCTGCCTTCTTTTACTCCATTCTTGTTTTCCTAAACATTTAGCAATGCCTTCTAGGAGCACATGGTAGACACTGAGAACATATGGCAAAATAATATGTATGTCCCTTCTCTCAAGGATCTGATGAGGATTTAAAAAAAAAAATAAACATTTTTAAAAAGAAGCAAATGAGGAAGATCTTTGTAGTGACAGAATACTTCTGTGTCCTGATTACAGTGGCGGTTTCATGAATCTACACTTGATAACATGTCAGAGAACTACATACCTTGTTTTAATGTCCACTTCCTGGGTTTGATATTGTACTCATAGAACTATATACATTGTTTTAATGGCAGTTTCCTGGGTTTGATATTGTACTATAGTTACATAAAATGTAACCATTGGGGGAAACTGCGTGAGGGTACAGGGGACCTCTCTGTACCATCTCTGCAACTTTCTGTGACTCTAGAATTATTTCAAAATAAAGAAGTAGTTGTTCTCATTTCCATGTTTTGCCCAAGAACATAGGTTAAGGGAAGTTTAATGACTTGGTTAAAGTGACAGAACAGAGTGTGAGCGTTAAGCAAGCACATATTTAGGTCAAGTCAGAGGGGAAATCTGGACTGTTTCTGTAGATCTGAGTATCATCAGCCTTGGCATGATAATTAATGGTGTGGAAGTGGGTAAGGCCACTGGTGAAGAAGGTTGGAGAGCTGAAAACAGCATCATCAAAGAGGTGAATAAAGAGACTGAGATGAGAGGAGCCAAAGAGAAAGGAGAAAAACCAAAAGAATCGCTCCAATGGGAGTCCAGGGGAGAAATGAATGTCCAGAGTCAAATGCTGCTGAGACGGGAAGAGGGATAAGGACTGGTGTCCTCTGACTTCTGCCACAGGGAGATCGCCTGTGACTGATTGGAAATGAATGAGAGGAGACTGGAGGCCACATGTATAAGTTACTCTTTGAATAAACTCCGGTGTGAAGAGGAGGAGAGAGACAGCACAATAGATGGAATGGGATGTGGACTCCACTGGGAGTTGTTTGTTTTGAGATGGGAGAGAGGAGCTGAGAGAGACAGTCGTTGAAGATTCACGAGGGAGATGAGGCAATCAACTGAGGAGAATGGCCAAGCAGATGGAAGGGACAGGACCGAGAACAGGCAGAGAAGTTTGGCCTTAAATGAGGGAGAGATGCATCCTCTATTGAAGAGGTGCGGAGGGAGAAGTGATGGGTTTGGATGTGGGCGGGATGTTAGAATTGTTGGCAGGAACTTGGCAAGTTCCATTCTGAGATCTTCAATGTTCCTTTGTGAACTGGGAGACAAGGTCATCTGCTGAGAGTGAGGGGACAAGAGCATCAGAGATATGAGAGTAATTTTGAGCTGGCTGTAGGGAGGGGGGATGAGGGTGACTAGGGTAACACGTCAAGGAGACTGGAACATGACGGCTGCAACATGTGCTGTTGGTGCCCTGCTGAATCCCCTTGGCACTCATGGTTCAGGTACGAACATACTGACAGGTTTTTATTGCAGGCACTTACAACTTTTTCTGGGGGGGGGTGTTCTCTAGCTAGGAGCTTGTGTGACTTGTGCACAAGGCAGCCTAGAATGAAAGGGAGTTAATGCCACTGAGAGCCACTCTCAACCAATGACAGAGAGAAATATAGGGGCCAATTCACAGGTGGGCTCTTGGAGGTCTCCAGTGGGACTGAGCCCACTGTAGTAATCTGCTCATCAACACACCCTGTGTTGGTTTCCCCCAGTCTGTCCCATTTCCCACTCCCTCTCTGTCTCTCTTCTCTCTCTCCTGTTCATTCTTTTACCTGGGTTTATCTCCAAATAAACCGCTTACATTCAGATACTTGTCTCAGGCTCTGCCTTTGTGGGAACTGCACCCAAGAAAAGGGCATAGTTGAAAAGGGCCCAGATAAGTATCATCATACTTATCTACCAAGATGTGATCATCTAGCAGTGCTTGGCAGGCTAGGTATGAAAACAAAAACAAAGGATAGGAGCTTTTGTTGCAGATGCGATGAGAATAATGAGGCAAAGGTACTTAAGATATTGGCAGGAGAAAGTTTGAAATGATGGATCATTAAGTCTAAGATGAATGGGGGTGTGGATTAGAGGACCTGAAGTAAAAAGTGAACAAATGTATTATGACAGTTAGGCATGCCGGTTGAGAGGATAAGAGACTGTGATTAGAGAGAGGGATACCTGATTTAGTAATTTTAGAGATGAGGCAATTTGTGTGTACTGTGGCCTTGAGAGCATGTGACTGTAGAGTATCAATCTACTGTATTTTATTGAAAATGAGGCATTCAAAATTTCCTGAGACTAGTAATGGGATGATATGTCCACACAGATATTTAAGTTACCTTGGATGATAATGGTTTGAAAGACTCTATGTCAGGTGCCAAAGTCTATAATTAATAAGGCCAGGCTCAGCAGCTCACGCCTGTAATTCCAGCACTTTGGATTCAAGGCAGGAGGACTGCTTGAGGCCAGGAGTTTGAGAACAGCCTAGACAACATAGTGAGACCTTGTCTCTACAAAAAAATAAGCAAATAAAATTAAGCTAGGTGTAGCAGCATGCACCTGTGGTCCTAGCTACTTAGGGGGCTGAGGTGGGGGGATCACTTGAGCCCAGGAGGTCAAGGCTGCAGTGAGTTGAGATCACACCAGTCAGTGACAGAGACCCTGTCTCTAATAATAATAATAATAATAATAATAATAATAGAATGACCAGAAACTCTGCTGATGAGGGAGGATAACAGTTGACGTAATTGAATAAATGAGCCTCAAGGAATCAATAATTGAAGCCATCTCTGTGTGTCGATATATTCGGTTTTTGAAATCCGCAGTTACTTTTGCATCAACCTAATAGATTTGCATCACTCTTTTTAAGGGCTGCATAGCGTTCCACGGATGCTTAGGCCGCAGTTTACGTAGCCAACCCTTACTGAGGAACATTAAAGTTGTTTCCTATTTTTCAAAAGCATAAACAAAGTGTGAGTATATCTTTTCAAATTTGTATTATCTCTTTGGAGTAAAGTCTGACAAGTAGAATTGTTGCAGTGAAGAATCTGCACATCTTATGTTTGATACTTCTTGTCAGATAGCCCTTTCCAGATGTTGTGCTATTTTATATACCCGCAGAAAAAGCACAAAGTGTATGTTTCTCCTAACCATGTCAATGCGTGAGTTTGATCAATTTTCAGAGATCTTTGCCAGTCTGATAGGTGAAAATCATTTCGTTATTGTTTAATTTGCCTTCTAAATATTTGTGAATTGAACATTTTTCCCTGTTTGTTGACCATTTGCATTTTTAAGTTATCTGTGACTTCTAACCACTATTTTCTATTAGATTTTTTATTTTTCTTGATTTATATAAGCTCTTTTATTATTGTGTGGATATTAACCCTTTGCCTTTGGACAGTATTGTTAATATTTTCCTGAGTTTGTCATTTGTCTTTCAACTTTGTATATAATTTTTTTGCCACACAATTGTATATAATTTTGTACAATTGAAGTTTTCAATTGTACTCAACATTATTTATCATTATTTTTCCCCTATATTATTTTACTTTTGTGTTTAAAAGTATTCACATGTAAATCTTTGGCCTGTCTAATTTATTTGGTGCAATGAGGTAAGGATTTAATATTTTCTTGCTAATTACTAGCCAGTCTTCCCAATATTTTTTAAAGATCCCTCCTTTTCTTCAGGGATTTGAATGCCACTTTTTGTCACATACTCAAGTGTCTAGGTGTCCCCCATCCTCCCACTGTCTGCAATCCTGGGCCTCTACCTAGTGTTAGAGGGTGAGCCCCAGCCCAGCCCCTAGCCCAACAGCAGCCAGGGGAATTGAGCAGTGTCTCAGATGGAGTCCGGGAAGCAGAGGGAGAGGGTGGGATGGCTGTAGCATTGCAGCAGCTCTTGGGGAACAAGGCTGACTCACACAGTGACTGGAACATTCATGGGCGGCTCCTTCGAAGCACAAAAATAAATGGGTATTTAACAGCAAAGTGGCAGACTGCCTAGGCATTTACTCCCTGGACAGCAGCGCTGGGATGAGGGCTTCTCCATTCTGGCCATCACTTTAGGTGCTGCTATGATCGCCACTTGCACCAGACCTGTCCCCTGATCACAGCTCCAGGATCTGCCTGGGTGAACATTGATCTCCAGCTGGAATCAGAGCGGACACCCAGATTCTGGTGCCCTCCCAGACCCTGCTCTAGATTATTCCTCCCTCTGTTACTGCTTTCAGGAGCCACTGCCTTTCTTTTGGGCACTCACCCTAAATACACCGATTCTTCCCTCTTTTCACACAGTGGGGCTGTGACTTCTCTTCTAAGAGTGGCTAGTCTACAAGTTTGAATACAACCTTCTAAATCTGCACATTACTTTTTCTAGGGACAGCTTCCTTATATCCTTATACAATCATACCCTTCAAAAGAGAGTTATATTTAGTGTTTCAAAGGTTAAAAGAAATAAAACAATAAAATTTAATCTGTATTAAGGCATTCTGCTACATAAATTCTTCAGCAAAAACAATGTTTTTAATTGGGGAGACTTAACCGTCACTATTGCTCTTCGTATCATTCCAAGAACCTCAGTGACACTAGTACTGCTTCTGCTGGTGCTCAGCTAGTGGAGTTTACTGCTGGTCTCTCCATCCCCAGAGCCTCTATTGCTCCAGTACCAAGAGGTGGGTTACCCATCCCTAAAGTCCTTTGAATTCAGCCATTGTTGCTATTCCTGCTACTGTCTTCAATCACCAAGCCCAACCTACCACCCAAGTCTCCTGTTTACTGATGTTGTAAGTCCTTGATTCTGGAGAAGGGGCAGCTTACTCTACCCTCTTCTTGGTAGGCCTAGGGCTGCCACAGATGTTTGTGCAGTTTGAGCCCTGCACAGAGGTGCCTGTCTGAGGGGCAGACAGAGGCTGAAATTCAGTGCTCAATACAGGAGTCCTGCCATCTTGCTAGGGTAGTGAGTGGGTACTGGATTTGCCTCAAGGAGGGCATGACTTTCTAATTTACACAAAGGTCCTGTATGGGCTGGCAGCAAGCGGTCCTAGGGCAAGACTTGGAGAAACCATAAGGCAGCCCAGAGTTTTAGCCTTTTGCATTAGGAAAATAGACCAGCCCTCTCACAGTATTTACTGGGAACATCCATTTTTAGGTGTTAAACATTTTAGGTACTTGTGAATTTCTCTTCCTTTCTGATGGGAAGCCATTGGCCACTCACTGACTGTACTTCAAACAAATGTGAACATTTACCTCTTCTTCCCTTTGGCTGAGAAGCACCTGTCACAAAGAGGTTCTTCATTAGCCCTCTTTCTTGTCTTTCCAGAAGCTTAAGAATTTGTTTGTAAGTAGGATAGCCCACACCCTGAAAAAGAAGGCAGAGAACATCTACTGAATTGTCAACTCGATACCCTTCCAGCCCCCTTCTCTTAGGAACTGTCACTCCTCCTCCATTTCTCCTTCCTCTTTATACCCACATCTATGTTAGAGGCTGTCATTTTCTTATATGACCACATCTCCTGTTGGGTTTGACTCAACTGGGGCTCAAAGTTTTTCTCCAGGATTTTTCTAATTAATATGAAGAGGGACTGTCCCTCTCAAAGAGTAAAGCTGTAAGATAAAAAAGGGGGGAAAAGGAAGTTGTGTATGGTTAGGTTTCCTTTCTGGTAGAGAAAGTTGATCTACAATGAACAAGAATGGGAGTAGCACATAGAAAGAAGCAGAGATTCCAAATGGAGAAGAGAGTCCTGGCAGCCACCCAGTTCTTGGTTCCCATAGTTCCTTGAGGCCCAGCTGCATTTCAATTTTCCCCATCATTTGGTTACTCACCTCCTTCTTGGATTTTCTGAACCAGCAACCCCCACACCCTACCCTTTTTCATTAGGCTAATTCAAGCTGTGTTTCTATCACTTTGCAACCAAGAGCTCTGCTTTCTACAAAGGCAAATAAAGTACCCTAGGGGTGCTTTGCTTTCCTAGTTAGACTCCACTGGGCCTGACTATAAAGATTATTTTACATAGGTAAAACCCAGAGGTCTGTTGGGTCATCTGTCACTTGGATTGCTAAATAGGGTTTACTACCTGCTGAAGTTTTACAATAAGGGGAATAGTTAAGGAAATGGGTCCAGCAGGATTTTCTGGTTCACAATAATGTTAATTTCCTGAGAAAACCACTTGACCTCAGACAAGGCATTTTCTTTTTCTAGAAACAAGGCGTTTTCTTTTTCTTGAGAATTGTTTTATTTTGTTTTGTTTTTAAACAACAAAGTGCTATTGTATAGTAGGCATTCTTGAGATGACTTTCTTTGTATACACATATATGAGCAAGTTAAACAAGGACATAAGCAGAATAAACAGTATTGAAAATGTACATGCATGAAGCTCAGTTTGAAGAATCTCTGCTGAGGTTTTGCCCATGTTTTCACAATGTCATAAACCTATTTTTCATGCTTGCATTAATGATATTTATTAAGTGAATATTCATAGATACCCACCTTGCAAAAACTCTATGGAAGCAACAGAATTGAACAAAAGACTTCCGTACCACAGGGTATTTATAACCCTATCTTGAGGCACACTTGTAAAAAAATTAATACAAGACCAATTGAAACGAATGCTGTGACAGACAGAATGAAGGATTCTGGAAGCATTGAGGAAGGAAAGACTAATCCCAGCTGGGGTGGAACATAACTGGCTCTCCATGTGGCAGATTCACATTAACCAAGCTCTGAGAAATTATCTACAAATCTGCAATTCCAGGTTACTGTTTTTCAATGACAGCTGTTTCTGACAAGGGTCTAGACACTTCCTTGCTTGCATATGAGCTTACTACAGTACCTTTAAACCGATACCTGACACTTCCCCAAATGAGATTCTATTTTATGATGAATATTTCTCAAAATACTTCGTAATTATCATGCTTACAGATTTCATAAGGCAAGAGAAAAGGCAGTGAGTGATTTAATGGATACAGTCCAAAGGACAAATTTCTTTCTGAAAATGAACAAGGGTTGGCAAGCCTTTTCTGCAAAGGGCCAGATAGTGAATATTTTCAGCTTTGCGGGCTATAAGATCTGTCCCAACTACTCCACAATGCTGTTTTAGATCAAAAGCAGCCACAGGCAATATGTAAATGATGAGCATAGCTGTGTTCCAATAAAACTTTATTTATAAAAACAGGTGGCCGGGCGCGGTGGCTCAAGCCTGTAATCCCAGCACTTTGGGAGGCCGAGACGGGTGGATCACGAGGTCAAGAGATCGAGACCATCCTGGCTAACACGGTGAAACCCCGTCTCTACTAAAAAAAAAAAAAAAAAAAAATACAAAAAACTAGCCGGGCGTGGTGGCGGGCGCCTGTAGTCCCAGCTACTCGGGAGGCTGAGGCAGGAGAATGGCGTGAACCCGGGAGGCGGAGCTTGCAGTGAGCTGAGATCCGGCCACTGCACTCCAGCCTGGGTGACAGAGCGAGACTCCATCTCAAAAAAAATAAATAAATAAAAATAAATAAAAACAGTTAGAGAGCTGCATTTGGTTTGAGGACCATAGCTTGCCAACCTCTGACTTAAAATAAAGGAGAGAGGCTAGGAACATTTGATAAAAAAGATACTGCTAGCATCATATTGTACATTGTGGAGAGAGATAAAGGTGAAAAAGACGCAGTCTAAAGTCCAGTGCAGTACAGGAAATCTATAAGAAAATAACCAGAATGTGAGGCAAAAAGGGGTAAGTGCCTTAAGTGAGGAACAGATACCTCTGACCTAGAAAAGCCAGAAGGGGCCAGGTGCAGTGGCTCATGCCAGTAATCCTAGCCTTTGGAAGTCCGAGGTGGGTGGATCACATGAAGCCAGGAGTTAAAGACCAGCAAAACATGGAGAAACCCTGTCTCTACTAAAAATACAAAAAGTAGCTTGGTATGGTGGTGAGCGCCTGTAGTCGTAGCTATTCGGGTGGCTAAGGCACCAGAATCACTTGAACCCAGGAAG